GGAAGATGCAGGATCAAAGGCTTTTCACAGGAATAATTAAATGCCTGCAAGGCGACAGGTAAAGGCTTTGGAGTTAGATAAATGCAGATTTGGATCCTAGCCCCCTGCTTAATAGCAGGTTAGCTTGAGCAAGTAACTCAACATCTTAGTGCATCAGGTTACTCAACTGTCAAAAGGGGATAATCTTTATTTCTATCAACCTATCTAAAATTGAGACCCCTTACTCACCTTTCAAGTAACGTGATAGTCGTTAATACTGTTCACTGAGGTTTTGCAGCTCTCTGCCGTCTAGGTACATGATAGGATTGCACTTGACAGCCCCCTTTGAAGTTAAGTATAGCCACATGACAGCTCTAGCCAAGGATTTGTGAGCAGAAGTGACCTGTGTCATTGTTTTTTTAGATGGAAGGTTTATACTTATTTATGTTTTGGCAGTAGATTTACAATAGATTACCAGGTGAAAAAGGGCATAAGCAACAACTACAACTGTCAGGATTGACAAGTTGAGATGGAAGATATCTGATAAGAGAGATTTTACCCTTCTTGGTATCTAAGACACCAGCAGGACTGCGGGTCCTTCCTGTTGCATTATACATAATGTCCAACACAGGGCTGGGTTAGAAAAGAAACATGGGACCTCGGAGTGCAGAGCTATTAGTTGTACCCTGTCCTCAACATGTGTCATTTTCAACTGGAATTTAATTGCCATTATGAGACCCTCCAGAGCTCTCTTTTCCTCTGGCCCAGTGACCAACAATATTCAAAATAGTGGTTGCTCCATCCCCCTGGGTGCCTGAGTGACTACGATGGACATGGTCTCCTGCCAGCCTGTGAGGAACTTATAATATTAGCAGGAAATAAAACCTTGTTGTTTTAAGGTGCTGATATTTGGCCAGGCAAGGTGGCTCACACCTGTAATCCAAGCACTCTTGGAGGCAGAGGCGGGCGGATTGCTCAAGGTCAGGAGTTCGAAACCAGCCTGAGCAAGAGTGAGACCCCATCTCTACTATAAATAGAAAGAAATTAATTGGCCAACTAATATATATATAGAAAAAAAAATTAGCTGGGCATGGTGGTACATGCCTGTAGTCCCAGCTACTCAGGAGGCTGAGATAGGAGGATCGCTTGAGCCTAGGAGTTTGAGGTTGCTGTGAGCTAGGCTGACGCCATGCCCCTCACTCTAGCCTGGGCAGCAAAGTGAGACTCTGTCTCAAAAAAAAAAAAAAAAAAGGTGCTGATATTTTGGAATTGTTTGCTATTTTAGAATAACCTAACCTATCCCACACGATGCCAATGGTAAGCCAAGAAATGCAGTTACCTCAAGAGGATTTGAAAAGTTCTAGAAAACCTTTGTTTTATATTTCACTTTATTAATTCATCCCACCAGCATTTACCAGGCAATGAGTATGGGCCAGGCACCATGCTAGCCCTGCAGGGGAAGACACTGGAGCACAGTCCCTCACTCCAGGACCTTCCTGTCTAGTATATAAGGCTCCATCTTTGGATACTCACTCTCCTCAATCATACTTTCAACCAATGCATCTGGTAGAAGTGGTTTTATTAGTTTTTAGTGTATGAGTTATTTTTGGAAAATGGATGAAGGCAGGAAGCATAGGTCTAAGAAACTAAAATTGATCTGCTTACACATCCCTCTCCTCCTCACGATCCCATCATGACTTTTTCTGTCTTCCTGTTTTTGCTCAGCCAGACTCTCTGCATCTTCAAATTCCATGTCTTCCATGAAGCCCTTCCTGCTGAATCCCTCCTTCTTCTAAAAATCCTGTAATTCTATCACTCATTGGATACATCCTGCCTTGAGTAGCATAGTAGAGAAAGCACAGATTTTGGAGCCAGATAGTCCTGGGTTTAAGTCCTAGTTTTGCCCCTTCCTAACTGAAAAGGCTAAAGACCTTGCTTTGGTTGAACATTAACTATGAATTGGACACTGTAAGTCACATAAATAAATTTAATTGTCACCCTGGCTCTTCAAGATTGATTATGTAGCTGGGCACAGTGGCTTGTGCCTGTGATCCTAGCTACTCCAGAGGCTGAGGCAAGAGGTTTGCTTGAGTCCAGGAGTTCAAGGATGCAGGGAGCTTAATCCACCACTGCATTCCAGCCTGGGGAACAGAGGGAGACCCCATCTCTAAAAAAAAAAATTGATCGTATATATGCTCTTTTACAGAGAAAGCCAAGCTTAGAGAGTCACACTCACTCATATCTATTTGAATATTTCAACTCTTTTATATGAAGAATTTTTCACTGTGTGGTCTATTTTATGTGCTTGCTCTGTCCTTTTTTTTTTTGAGACAGAGTCTCACTTTGTTGCCCAGGCTAGAGTGAGTGCCGTGGTGCCAGCCTAGCTCACAGCAACCTCAAACTCCTGGGCTCAAGCAATCCTTCTGCCTCAGCCTCCCAAGTAGCTGGGACTACAGGCATGCACCATCATGCCCGACTAATATTTTCTATATATATTAGTTGGCCAATTAATTACTTTCTATTTATAGTAGAGACGGGGTCTCGCTCTTGCTCAGGCTGGTTTCGAACTCCTGACCTCGAGCAATCCACCTGCCTTGGCCTCCCATTACAGGCGTGAGCCACCACGCCCGGCCTGCTCTGTCCTTTTTTTCCTTAATATTTACCAATGTTTGTATTTGTATTCTAATTATTTCCTTTATATAACATCTTTAATCTCCTCTATTTAGAGGAGGGGTGATTGTCTATTATTTTCCTCTTATGAAAAACATAGACATTATTTAGTAACTTCTCTCTCCTCCCTTTCTTTTCCTGCAGAGTGAAATTTGAAGAAATATTCTTTTACTCCCAGGTAATAACTATAAGGCAATCAGCAAGCTTTTCTGCTTTAAAAATGCTCTCCCCATTCTCCTTCCTCTGTTTTGAGCTATACTGCATATTCATTTTAAAGGCACATAGCCTTTACAAACTATACCCTCTCCTTTATAAATAATCATTTATTCTTAGTATTATAAGTAAGTATATATTTAGTACTTGCCACCTGCTGCGTCAATGTCTAACAGGCCATTTTGGTTGTCTGAAGCACGTTCCCTAGAAGATGCCTCAGAAAGGTCTCATGGAACTATTCCCCATGTTCTTCCATGTTGATGACGTTTTGTCTGTGGCCTTTACATCTGAAAGTCAGTTTGGCTGGATGTAAAATCCTTAGCTCATATTTTCTTTCTTTGGGTATCTTAGATGTTACTATTGTCTTCTCACATAAAGCACTGCTGTCAAAAAGTCTAATGACATTCTAATTTTCTTTCTCTTTTATGAGTGAATTTGCCTTTTAGCCTAGATGCCCAGATATTTTTCTTTTTTTTCTTTAAAAAACATGAATTTTACTGGAATATGTCTCAGTGTTGCTCTTCTGTGTTGAATTCCCAAAGTATGAGATGTGCCCTTTCTATACATAGTCTTATTTTTTCCCCAGGAAATTTTTAATTATAGGGTTATTTTGTGTATATATTATTCTCCTCCTTTATTTATTTTTTATTATTACTTTTTTTTTTTTTTTGAGATAGAATCTTGCTCTGTCATCCTGGGTAGAGTGCAGTGATGTCATTGTAGCTCACTACAACCTCAAACTCCTGGACTCAAGCAGTCCTTCTCCTGCCTCAGCCTCCCGAGTAGCTGGGCCTACAGGCCCATACCACCATGCCCAGCTAATTTTTCTATTTTTAGTAGAGACAGGGTCTTGCTCTTGCTCAGGCTGGTCTCAAACTCCTAAGCTCAAGCAATCCTCCCACCTTGGCCTCCCAGAATGCTAAGATTACAGGTGTGAGCTACCTCACCCAGCACCACCCCCCCAGATAATACTGTAAGGGAATAAAAAGTGAAAAGGAGAAAATTTACATCCCAGAATGAATCAAAGAGAACTCAAAGAATTTAAGAGAAAGTTACGAATATAGAAAATAGAGAGAGCATGAGGCTGGCAGCCATAGAGCAGTGATCACTGGACTATAAGATCCACAAGAACAGGGAGCTTGTCTGTTTTGTTCACTGTTCTAGCCCCAGTACCTAGAATAGTGGCCAGCACATAGTAAGTGCTCAATATATATTTATTGAGTAAACACATGGGAGGGAATCTTCAGCATTTGACGAGAGATTTGCCACAGTGACCTTAAGCTCATTGCAGCCCGAGTTTGTGTGTGTCTTCATTTGCATGGTCAACCTTTTAACTCCAAATGTGTCTTTAAAGCTGTCTCAGAACTATGTTGGGACCTGTCTGGGAGAGGAAAACAGAAACAGTGGGAAATCAGCAATCCTGACCTGTTAGAAGCTCAGCCTCTCTGATAGTATGCAATTTCAACAAAACATATAAAAAAAAATACCCTTGCTGTGTCACTGGTTTCTTTCTTAATTTTTTTTTTTTTTTTTTTGAGACAGAGTCTCACTTTGTTGCCCAGGCTAGAGTGAGTGCCGTGGCGTCAGCCTAGCTCACAGCAACCTCAAACTCCTGGGCTCAAGAGATCCTCCTGCCTCAGCCTCCCGAGTAGCTGGGACTACAGGCATGCGCCACCATGCCCGGCTAATTTTTTTCTCTATATATTAGTTGGCCAATTAATTTCTTTCTATTTTATAGTAGAGACGGGGTCTCGCTCTTGCTCAGGCTGGTTTCGAACTCCTGACCTCCAGCAATCCGCCCGCCTTGGCCTTCCAGAGTGCTAGGATTACAGGCGTGAGCCACCGCGCCCAGCCTGGTTTCTTTCTTTAATGTACTCTAGCTGGGAAGTCATTCTCCCTTTAAGAGGCACTCAAAGAGCCTAAGAGAATTTTCTAAAATCTGTGTGTCAAATTGGGTTGTAAATGAACATGTCCTTTCAACCCAATGTTCTAACAAGAGGAAAAATCCAGATGTCCATTTTAACCCACACGTCACAGCAGCAGCACATTACATAAGATTCCCAGCAGCCTCCAGCACACTAAAGACAAAACATCAAGCAAAAACCTGAGGTCAAAGTCACGAAATACAGACACACAGACATTATGTGAGGTATTTATTTTGCCACCATTAGGCTCAATTGCAGTACCAAGTTAGCAAAGATAATTAATCCCAACCAAAGTTTCTACTGTTTGGCTACTTTAGGATGGAGGAGGGAGGAGGATCACGTAAGGGAATCCGTACAGAATTCAGAGAAAGGACATCAGAAGTTAGGATGGGTCTGTTTCAGGTGGAAGGTAGCCAGGTGCCTACAGTGGAGCATGTCATATGACTGGGAGGCAACGGGAGGGCACTGAGCATGCCTAACCCATTCCCTAGCATTTCACTCCAAATCAGTGTATTTCGCAACGATGATCCAAAGGTGAAAAAGAAGAGCTGAAGACACACGTGCGGACCAACATTTAATTTCTGTTTGTCAAACAGGTGATTAGGCTTCAGTGTGGTACCATTCAGACACTGGGGCCTGTGCCACTCCATCAGTTCCCCTGCTGGCCCTGGTCATTCTGCGCTCCTGCAGTGGATGCCATGTCCAAAAGAACTATACTCCAGAAAACATAACAGAGAACTGAAAAACAAAAAGAGAAACCATCAGGATAAAGATCCCCCCGACAGAAGGGAACAACGTTGTAGAAAAGGGGATTTAATTATGTTTAGAGATGTAACTTCAACACCAGATCAGTCTGCTGTCACCATTTCCCAAAATCTTGAGCATTGAGCCTGAGTTCTGTGCTCAATGTGGAGATTATTGTTGGAGGAAAGATGACATTTTAAAAAGTTTTCCTCTATTTCCTTGCAAACCCAGTGACTATCTCTGAACCAGACCCTTAAGTTACCTTCACTCATTCTTCTCTTGTTGTCTTCTCTGTGACAGTACTGTGTTAGGTGCTACAAGAGGAAAGACAGAGTGGATATGGAGGGCCTTAAAAAGATTTGGGAACTGGAAAGCTATTTGTGATAGCTGAAACATAAGGTTATATAGGGAACAATGGCAGGAAATGAGGCAGGACAAACAGATTAGGGGTGAATCACAGCAGGACAGGGAGTTTGGATTTTGTCTTTTAGACAACAAGGAGCCCAAAAAAAGAGGTTTTTAAGTAGGAGAGTGACAAAGTCAAAGGCATGATCAGATTTATAAATTTTCAAAGACTCCTGTGGCTGCATATAGGATGGATTAGAAGGAGGAAAAGAAAAGGCTATTACCATGGTTCATACATGAAATGACTGGGTCCTGAACACTGGGTATGGTATTGATAGGACAGAGTTGAGGAATATTTCTGAGGTAGTAGAGGTAAGTCTTGCTGACCAATAAGATATGGAAGGTGGGAGGGGAGAATCTACATTGATGTTGAGGTTTCTAGCTGGGGTGACTGCGTGGATTTCTTAATTAATCCAACAGATGTTTATTGAAGACTCATGTGCCAGGCACTGGGTATAATGATGAACAAGACAGACATGGTCCCAACTCTCAAGAAACTTATAGTCTACCAAGGGAAACAACAGGGCAAACAATACATAAAACGTTATATATTTAATTGCAACCCTAAGTTACTGTGAGAAGATATAATAAAGGATCTAACCTAGTGTGCAGGCAGGGGCAGTGTGGATGGTGGTGCCATTCACTGAGACAGGAAAACATAAGGGGATCTGGTTGTAGGAGGGGATGAGTTTAGCTTTGGATATAATGAATTTGAGGCAACACCTCATTGAGGATTTGCAAGAGATGGGAACTTAGAAAGAGGAGTTAGAGATGGGATTAAATATAGGGAAGACTAAGGAACATGGTGGAGGAGGGCTCCTCAGGCATGGCCTTCCACTTAAGAGAAAGAAGGAGCCAGGCTTCCTTGGAGCCCTCATGGGGGGCAGTGCCACATTCAGGTATCAGTGTTTCGCCACACCACGGAGGTGAGGTTGAGTCAAGGGCTATCTGCCTAGGGTCCACTGGCTCAAGAAAAGGGAAATATTGCCAAAAAAATACCTGTGAAATATGGCTGGAGAAAGATGGAAGTTGTGATTTGCTGGAGTGAAAGAACCTAAAGCCTAATCAGCCTTCTAGTAAACATCAGCTCGGGTTTCTGAAATGCTATTATAGAGGTAGGGACAAATGAGCCCACAGGGCCAGCACTAAAAGTTTTATTTTCATTAATATATACTCTGTTTTTCTCTTGTCATTTCAGCTGTCTGTTCCAAATTAACATCAAAACTAGGGGAGAATCTGAAGACAGAAAATTCCCTTCTCTTGCTGCAAAGTTCTAATGGGTGGCCTGTGGCCTATAGCAAAGAGGCTGGGAATTCCTGGCACTTAGGCCAGAGGGTGGAAAGCAAGATGATACTGCCCTTCTGGCCAAATTTGGTCCATAACAGCACCATCAGCCAGGACTTCCTCACCTCTCCAAGATTGCCTTTAATTCTTCTCAGCCTAAGACCTGACTCCTGGCCACTTTTAGCTCCCTACCTTAGGCAGCCGCACTACGACATAGGCATTCCCTGCTTTTTTCCTTGCCCTAGCCCTACACCCAAACCTGGCCAGTGCTACCACTGCCTGATCTGGGGTGTTCCAATCAGAAGTTCTCATAATTGTGATTCTCTCTTTAATTTAAAAAGGCCTTCTAGTCTATGTGATGCTTGAAACATAAAATTGGGGTATAGAAGCTTAGAAGGTAAGCACCTATCTCCATTGCTCACCTCAGTAGTCTCAGCACCTAGCAAGAGTAGAACTTCAATGAATGAACAAGACTTCCCAAGTAAGTTGGCAAATAAAGCCAGGAAAGTGTGAATGCTATGTGATACACATATCTACCCTCACTTGTTCAGAATCAAGCTTTCTCTGAGGGTCTGCTGGGTCTGGGGCTACACTGGTAAATAAAGCTCTGCCGTCAAGGAACTCCCAGTCTATGAAGTTACAGTAAATAAGAAAATTGTCAGAAGATACGAAGAGCTGTAGAAGAACACAGAGAAGAAAGTAAGTACTATTACCTGGAAAAGTCAAGAAAAACTTCACCAAGGAGAGGGTGCCTGGGTGGGTCCTGAAAAATAAATAGGAAATTGCCAAGTAGAAAAGCAAGGAAGAGCACTCTAGAACTTAAAAAAAAAATTCTTAAAAGATTTTAAAGTAATATTTCCAGTAATTAGTGCTAGTGCTGATACCTGTTAGTATTAGATTATTATGAGTATATAATAGTGGATAAAACAAGTACTTATTTGATATTCCAATTCTATCATTATTGGTGTCATAGAGAATATCCTCAGTATGGGACAAAGGAGACACAGAGGATAAAATAATTTAGTAAAAACTTTATAATACTAAATTTGAAGTATCAGAATGAACTCACAATATATCTTATTTATTTATTTATTTATTTATTTATTTATTTATTTATTTATTATTTAATTATTTTTTCTTAGAGACAGGGTTTCACTTTGTCGCCCAGGCTAGGGTGCAGTGGTACAATCACAGCTCACTGTAAACTCAAACTCCTGAGTTCAAATGATTTTCCTGCCTCAGGCTCCTGAGTAGCAGAGACTATAGGTGTGAGCCACCATACATGGTTAATTTTTAAATTTTTTGTAGAGATGGGATCTTCACTATGTTGCCCAGGCTAGTCTCTGACTACTGTCTTCAAGACATCCTCCCACCTCAGCCTCCCAAAGTGCTAGGAATACAGGTGTGAGCCACTGTGCTTGGCCTCACGATGTATCTTCTTTACAGAGTAAATAAACAAATAAGAAAACAAACATATTTCCTGGCTCTGAACACTGTAAAAGTGTGAAAACAATGACCAAACCAGTTCCAATGAGCATCACTAGAATCCAAAATCTGATCTTTTATTTTTTTTAATTTTTTTTAATTTTATTTTTTTTATTTCAGCGTATTATGGGGTACAAACAGCATCTGATCTTGAAATACTGTTTCCCCACTGAAAGAACCAGGACTCCTTAGAGAAATGGCTCAGTCTGCATCTGTGACAGGAAATGTTCAAAATGAGCCTGGAAGATTTTGTCAGAACAGATAGCAAGATGACTATCTGGGGCTCATAGGGTCATATCAGCAGGGCTCAAAAGCCAACTTGAAGAGGCTCCCAATGGCCAAAGATGGGAAAATTTGAGCCCATCTCAAAGATAATATGGGCAATGGACTGAAACTAATGGGTTATTGTTGAAAAGTGCTGATGAACCAACTATTTGAAAACAGGTTTTCTTTAAATCATTTCTCTTGCCTTTCTTATACTAACTATCCTACTAGATAACCAAACCAAATAGTAGATGGAGTTTTTTTATTAAAGAAGTATTCTAGTTAATAAACAAAGACAGAATTGAAATATCACCTTTTTTTTTTTTTTTTGAGACAGAATTTCACTATGTTGCCCAGGCTAGAGTGAGTGCCATGGTGTCAGCCTAGCTCACAGCAACCTCAATCTCCTGGGCTCAAGCAATCCTCCTGTCTCAGCCTCCTGAGTAGCTGGGACTACAGGCATGTGCCACCATGCCTGGCTAATATATATATATATATAATTAGTTGGCCAATTAATTTCTTTCTATTTATAATAGAGACAGGATCTCACTCTTGCTCAGGCTGGTTTCAAACTCCTGATCTTGAGCAATCCTCCCGCTTCGGCCTCTCAGAGTGCTAGGATTACAGGCATGAGCCACCACGCCCGGCCAAAATATCACCATTTTGAAACCCCTAATGAATGAACAGATTTAGGCATTGCATATTAATGGCCACTAACATCAAAAAGAGAGAGATAATTAGATATTATGAGTTTTGGGCACTGAGGAATTTAACAGCACATATCAGGTAGACTTGCCAAGACAAACATGAATCTGATCAAGGCTTTAGATGCAAACCAGTTCACATAAAACAGGGAACAGAGCAACATGTTAAATGACATCATGGAGACATAATCAGCAAGTGAGAAACTAAAAGATAAATGATTATCTGACAAAGGGCAAGGGGAAAGAAAGAGAGAGGGGAAGATGGAGTAGGAATCTATGGGTTTTAAGACATTTAAAATCTGTATCAACCAATTGTAATAAGTGGGCTGTATTTGGATCTGATTCAAATAAGCTGAAAAAAAAGTTACGATATTTGTGAAATAATTTGAAAGGGAACAAAGAAGAAAACTGAGAAGGAAACAGCCTAGGAACTGAAAATGGATTCTCTGGGCAGGGATATTTTAGACACGGTATAGACAGGAATAGGGGCTGGTAGAAAAAGTGTTGGGTATGGTGTGAAATCGTGGGGCTTAGATGCCATGTTACAGGGATTATAGCACTGAGTTAAAGCTGACTTCAAAATAAAAGAATTGATGTGAATAAACCTAGTAAAAAGGTTTGTACCTCTGGCTTATGAAATGAATACTCTCGACAAGAGCGAGCGAAAGGATAATTGCATACAAACCCTGAGTATCAAATCAGGAGGGTTTCAATTACACAGGACTCTCCAGAAACCCTTTGTTCATCTCTTATTAAAGCTCCTATCACACTGCAGTATAATTATCTGCTGGCCACCCTCCAGTGGGCAGAACCACTTGTCACCGCCCCTGGGAAGGTAGCACCAATCTAGATGTGGTCCTTCAGAGATACTCCATCCCTCAAGCCAAAGCAGGGCTCCCCAGATACAGTTTCCAGGTTTTACCAGGGTCAGAGGAGAAACGGCACTGGCCCTCAGCTGATAAGTTAATGAAGAAGGAAGGAAGCCAGATATTCTTTATACTATTTCAATAACTGACATAGGGGTGGCATCCTGATTATAAGCACAGTCATATGCCACATAAGGACATTTCTGGCAGTGACAGACCACATATAGATGGTGGTTCCATAAGATCATATTGCGTTTTTACTGCATCTTTTCTATGTTTAGATATGTTCAGATACACAAATGCTCACCATTGTGTTACAACTGCCTACAGTATTCAGTACAGTAACATGCTGTACAGGTTTGTAGCCTAGGAGCAATAGGCTACCATATAGCCTAGGTGTGTCTAGGTCAGACTCTATGATGTTACACAATGATGTCATCACCTATTGACACATTTCTCAGAATGTATCCCTCATCGTTAAACGACACATGGCTGTAACTGGAAGCTCCCCTATGATCCTGAGGTTCCAAAGAGAGCAGGGGTTAATGTTCTCCCAGGAACACACATTCTAGGCTAAGCCTTCCAATGCACAGATTTATATGGGAAGGTTACCAGTGAGATTAGAACCCATTCTTTTTCAGTGAAAGCTGGGAGTCTAGAGATCACAGGAGAAGGCACGGCCAGCTCATAAATCTGTAGCGCCCAGGGCTCTAGGCAGCCCCTGTATGGGCAAAGCAATTGATGCTTCTGCCAGGGAGGCTGCAAAGAAGCTGTTCATCCCTGTCGCATTTGGAGACCTGACACCCAAATGGAGGCACTAACACCCAAGTTTACAGACCTGGGCAAAGCCCAGAGGTGTGAAATCTGTGTAAACCAGGATGTGAGGTTTTCCAGTGCCCTGAGGGACAGGCTCTTCTCAGACGCTGCTCTGACTCTCTGAAGGCCTTTACAACCAAAACGTAAGGAAGAAACTGCAGGCCTAGCTCCGGAGCAGGGCAAGAGGGCCCCTTGCCACAGTGATACCGGGTATTCTGGGCCAAAAAGGAAACCCAGATAACTGTCACCATTGTGTTCTTTACCTCTGTCCCTCTCCAGCTGGGCTTGGATTTTCTCATTCTCAGTGATGTGAGCCCACATCGTGTCATCATGTCCCACTGAACAGCCCAGTTCTTCACCTTCCCAAAAGCCATGGGAAGCAGACTTCTTTTTCAGAACGGCTAACTGACTGCTGCTCAACCTCCAGAACCCAGTTCCACCAAGACCCTCTCTGTGAAGCATCTCTCCAGGCCAACTGAGTCACCCCCTTTGGTGACCCCATGGTGCTCAGTAGAAAAACTGGCTGAGGCACTTCTCACACAACATGGCCATTATATCTTTAGCTATTTCTCCATCAGATTGAAGCTCCTTGAGGCAGAGACTAGGTATGATTTTCTAGGTCCCCAATGCCTGGCCCACACAGGAGCCTTCATCAATGTGTGAGTGAGAGAGTAAATGATGACCTAAGGCTCAGTGAGCCCCGGCATCTCTGGTAAAAGGCCACATCCCACCTTTTGCCTTATTCTTACCAAGGGTCACATCTACCCACCCAACATTAACTGGGCACTTGCTCTGTCATGCCAGGTGGGCAGTTGGCTAGGCACTGGGGGTCCACGTCAAATAAGACTGTCCCTTCCCCATGGACTTCAGTCTAAGGAAGAGACCCCCTACCCTGGGGCTTCACTGCCAGCAGTCAGTGGTATCCATCTGCAGGAGCAGCTGAACAACTGTGTAGTCAATGAAACTGTAATGTAAACAAGCCACCAAGTGCTCATTATAAGTGACCAGGTTCCCTAAACAACTCACAGAGGTAGTAAAAGGAAAGTATTAGAACATCTACTTATATTTCATCAAAACATAAGGAAGTGGCTGAGCGTGGTGGCTCACACCTATAATCCTAGCACTCTGGGAGGCTGAGGTGGACAGATCATTTGAGCTCAGGGGTTTGAGACCACTTTGAGCAAGAGTGACATCCCGTCTCTACTAAAAAAAAAAAAAGGAAAAGAATTGGCTGGACAACTAAAAAAATATATATAAAAAATTAGGCCGGGCGCTGTGGCTCACGCCTGTAATCCTAGCTCTTGGGAGGCCGAGGCGGGCGGATTGCTCAAGGTCAGGAGTTCAAAACCAGCCTGAGCAAGAGCGAGACCCCGTCTCTACTATAAATAGAAAGAAATTAATTGGCCAACTGATATATATAGAAAAAATTAGCCGGGCATGGTGGCGCATGCCTGTAGTCCCAGCTACCCGGGGAGGCTGAGGCAGAAGGATCACTCGAGCCCAGGAGTTTGAGGTTGCTGTGAGCTAGGCTGACGCCATGGCACTCACTCTAGCCTGGGCAACAAAGCGAGACTCTGTCTCAAAAAAAAAGGAATTAACTTCTAAGAGGTACCATATGGATTGACAAAAGTATATGCAAATACTTCAAATATACACATCACTGGTTTGTGCTTGTGACAGTGACTCTAAAATGATCCCTGCCTCCAGGTATTCATGCCTTTGTGTAATCCCTTTCTCCAGAGTGGGGCAGGACCTGTGATATGCTTCTAATCAATAGAATATGGCAAAGGAGATGAATTTCACTTTCATGTTCACATTATATAGGACTATAACTTCCATCTCAATAACAGACTCTACTGACTCTCTTTCCCTTTACGGCTTTGATGAAGTAAGCCATCATTTGAGGAGGCCCATGTGGCAAGGAATGAAGGAAGGCCTCCAGCTGACAGTCAGCAAGGAGGTCCTCGTTCTAACAAGCCACAAATAACTGAATCCTGCCAACAACTGTGTGAGTTGGGAAGCAGATCTTCTCCAAGTCTAGTTTCAGATGAGACTCCAGCCCCAGCCAATGCTTTAGGCATAGCCTTGTGCGGGAACCTGAAGTAGAGGAACAAGCTAAGATATGTTCAGATTCCTGATCCACAGAAACTGTGAGAATGTATATTGTGGTAATAATGTTGGGCAGCAATAGATAATATAGTACTCAAAACTCTTAACTGATAGGACATGCAATCAAAGAAGTATGGAGATTTCTGAACTAAAGATCTCTAAACTAGCAAAGGAGGTCTCAAAAAAAATAAAAAAATAAAAAAAATACACCCCAGAGGCAGCAATGGGACCCTACAAGTTTTAGTGGTAAAAAGAACACATCTAAAAAATGGGAAAGTGGAAAACCTCAAAAATTGGCTCACAAGCCCTAAGTTTGAGTCTCTGTTCTGCCTCTAAAAGGTAGATGCTCTTAGTTAATTCAGACTTACAAGTTCAGCCTCCTCATCTATGCGATGGGATCAATAGGGCTGGTAGAGTGGCCAATGAGAGAATGACCTAGAAAGTGTTTTGTAAAATGGAATGTGATACACATGTGTCAGTTTGCCACAGAATTCTGGGGTGGCCTTGGGCAAGGTACTGTCCTGTCTTAGCCTCAGCTTCCTTAATGTAAAATGGGGAGGGAAGCCCAAGCTATCTCCAAGGGCTGTGACCTTTGTTGATTCTAACATCTCATACTCAGGAGAAGAGGGGAAGAACAGAAGGTGATGGACTGTGACATTTTATAGTATAATAGTTCCCTAGTAATCCCATTGGCCAGGGTAATTATCTAACCAAAAAGGTCACTGGAGGTACCTTTAACCCAATAACATCTTGTCAACTTGCAGGGCCTACAACCTGAATTCCTCAACCAAGAGAGAAAATCCCCACTTGTTTTACAAAAAGGAAATAAAGAGTCAAGTTAAAGTCAGTGGTAACCATCAAATTTCAATACAGAGGGGCAGCAGTTTTGATTTTGTTACTTAGTACCTTAACTATGTGCCAGGAGCTTTTATAAACATTATCGCCAATCTTCACCACAGTCTTATAACATCGGTAGCATCATCCTTACTTTATAGATAAGTTAGCTGAGGAGCAAAGAGAGTAAACCTCTGGTCTTACTAGCAAGAGCACATCGGTAGTATATGGCAGGGCTGGGATTCAATTTTAATTCTATTTGACTCTAAAGCTACTGGTTTTTGTACATACCCTGTTGCTCTAGGAGGCAGCAGCTTGGGGCAGAAAGGACATTCTTTGTAGGGTAAAGGAGTAAAGGTTCTTGGCCCACAGTAGAATCATGTGCAGAGTGTGGCTCCATTCATTCATCCCATAAACATTTACTGAGCACCCAGTGTAAGGTTATGTGGTTGGCAATGAAGATATAGAGTAACACCATTCCCTGTTCTTATGGAGATGAATCTAACTGGGGAGAGACTCTAGTACACAGAGGACAAGTGAATAAATAAATGACTGAACAAACAGACAGATAGGCGGATGGACACATAGTCAACAATTAGTGTTTTAAGCACCATGATACATGATGTAATATACAAAGTGTAAGGGGATCATCAGGTAAGAGATGACTGTTGGAAAGGAAGGAACATTTCAGACAACTGGAACAGAAAGTACAAAGGAAATGCAAGATGCTCAGCATGGCTGCAGCTTCAGTATACAAAGGAGTTGGAACAGGAGGACAAGGACTGAGCCATGAGTTTTGGTCTTTCTCCTGTACTCTAACCCATTGAGCTAACCACTGACAATGGGACCATCAAAGAGGCCCTGAGAACAAATGAGGCATGAGAATTTGTAAGCTTTGAAAAACCTCATGAGTAATTCAAAAGGGGTTATATTCAGGGTCTGAGGCCAGCATGAGAGTCACAGAGACACTAGAAAAAAACCCAACAGGACTGTTAATAAATGGAACAAACCCATACCATGCTGCTGGAAAGGATTCAGGGAGGCAAAGAGAAGCCCCTTTGCTGGGACTAACGGCAGGAGCTCCTCTTACAGAAGAATCTAAGAACTCATGTTCCCCATTTGTACAAAGCCAACATCATGTGAATTTCAAACTAAGCCTTCAACAAGAGGAACACATAGACATGCACATGCACATACACAAATTAAATTGTGTGGAAAGATAAAAGGTTCTGGCCCTCTCTGTTCTTGATGCTCACAGTAACAGAACTGATGCACCTGCCCACTTTTTACTGTACCACACAGCAATAAGATAAAACCCAATCTCTTACTTTGCTCATTAGCTGGACTTAGCTGCTGCAACTGTTTGGTTTGGAGTAGCTGTAGTTGTTGAGAGATGGTCCATCTCTGGTGCATCAAAAAAGTATGCCTGCAGGAAAAGAGACCCATGAGGGAGTTAAAAAACAATGGTACAGATGAATGTTCTTCTAGACACCATGCTAACAGTATAGTATGTCTGGGTTCTCATGGTCCCAACATTCCCCCTACCGTATTTGTCATCACACTGAACTACAATTGTCTGTGTTTATATTTGTCTCACTTACTCAACTGTGAGTACCTTTTTAAATTTAGCTACCATTCATTTATTTAGCACTTCCTATATTACATGACTTAATAACAACTCTGTGAGGTGGTTATGACTATCCTCATTAGACAGATGAAAAAACTGAGGCTCAGAGAGACTGTCATTTGACAGGTGTACATGGCTAATGAGTTGTGAGGCCAGGACTCAAAGCAAGGTCAGCCTGACTCCAAAGCTCAAGCTCCTAATCACTACATTATACAGTCCTTCCTCCAGGGCAAAGACTATCCTTCTTAATCTTTGTGTCCCCCGCACCCTGCACAGGGCCTGGCACAGTATGTAAACGATCAATACTTAATGAACTGGACTACATTAGATTGCTGCTAAACCAGTTAGTTGGCTCTCTGCAAAAGCCTTGAAAAGAAGTGCTAAGCATGCTGTACCTCCTAATTCCTCAGCTAGGAAATGAAAGGTTTGGTAAGTGCTTCCACTCACCATCTACAAGCTAACTGTAAAAATCAGACAGAGGTGGAAGAAGGAAGACATCAGGGAAGATCTCTCTACCTATCTCAAAGCCACAGAATCCTAACTTTAGCCCAGGAAAATACTAATTACACTAGCATTGAACACTGGTTGTTCAAAGGAAAGGTGAATCTGTTACTACATCAAGGACCCATGAATGCTCATGATGCCCCCTTGGTGTCAGTGACTTAGGAAGGTAAAAAGTTAAAAAGCCACCACGTCTCTGGGCACAGTGGCTCATGCCTATAATCCCAGTACTTTTGGAGGCCAAGGCAGGAGGATCATTTGAGGCCAGGAGTTTAAGACCAGCCTGAGCAACATAGCAAGACCCCATCTCTATAAATTTTTTTTAAAAAATTAGCCGGGCATGGTGGCTCAAGCCTGTAGTCCTAGCTACTTGGGAGGCTGAGGCAGGAGGATGGCTTGAGCCCAGTAATTGGAGATCACAGTGGGCTATGGTCATGCCACTACATTCCAGCCTGGGCAACAAAGCAAGGCCCTGTCAAAAAAAAAAAAAAAGCCACCAAGACCCATTTTACACCAGCTCTGCTCTCTATCAGCCAGAAGGGGGCACCAACAGGACACACTAGAGCTTTCCCCAACATTGCTATAATGTGTATAATGTGTATAACTCTTCAACAGTCCTTTTTAAAAAGTTTCCAGATGACACCTTTTTCTGCAGACTCCCTTCATCTAGCTACAATTGCTACATTCCCAGAGCAATTCTATTGCATTGAAAGTCTTTCACTCCAGGCCCACTTCCAGCAGCTGTTTTCTGGGGCAGGGAAAGAATAGCATCTAACTTCAGGTGGGGACAGGGGCCACACTGCCAGTGCTGGATTCCCCCAGATATCTCTCAGGTGTACTGAGACACAATCCACAAGGATGCAGGAACAACGCCTTTCTTCCAGGCTATGGAGGAAACCCTCATAAGAGCCAAGAGGCCCGGGTTCTAAACCTAGCTCTGCTGCTAACTCGCACTGTGACTTTAGACAAGTCACTCTACCCATGTGGGCCTCAGTTTTCTTATCTGTAAAATGTAGGGATTGGAAAAGATGCTAAGGATTATTCCCTGAGCAAGCTTTAATTCCATAATTCATTAGTTCCACAAATGCTTACTAACAACCACAACTATCATTTGGGGAGTACCTACTGTACACCAGGAACATATTGGATCATTCGTCTACTCAAAAACACTGTAATTTCATCCCCATTTTAAAGATGAGAAAGCTGAGGCTCAAAGGGATGGAGATTTTCCCTAGGCTCACAACTGTGTGTCTTAGCTAAGATTTCAATCCAGTCTTATCTGCCTCCACAGGCTACGCTCGCTATTCTATTCTCCAACACATCTGCAATTTGGCACCTAGTCTACGCTCAGTCCAGACGTAGGCACTGGGGAGGCCTCAGAGCTGAATCAGCAGGCTCTCTGTGAGTTGGAATAAGGCACAGTTCCCTTTAAAATCAGCAGTCACCACCGCAAACATAGGCTTGTACATCTATAAACATACCAACCAAGGACGCACCCTCTGGGTACTTCCTTAGTCATCCCTGCCAGGTGTGCTCCAGTACAAACTTGGCAATCATTTACATGTGCAATCACCGAGGGGCCCTCGGCAGGTGTGGGGTTGTCATATGCTTCACTGCTCTGAGGCAAAAACACCAATGTGTGTGCCCCAGGGGAGAGCAAGAAAGCCAGGCTGTCTGGTTCAGCAGGTGCCCCTCAGCTCAAATAACTCCCCTGCCAATTCCTCTCTCTGCTCTTCCAACAATAATAATGTCTTCTGTTTGTATGACTTGTCCTATTTTTCATGCTGCAAATATCATTCAATCCTTACAACAACAGTAAAGATGTCATTATGATGCGCACAATCAGCTCCTTTTTCTAAGTGAGGAGGTGGAGTCCAGAGAAGGGAAATAACCAGAGCAAGCAGTGGGGTAGCTGGGACTGAAACCCAAGTCTTCTAACTTTTGAGTCAGCCTTCCTGCACTGCACATCTCCAGCATAGAGAATAAAATCCTGACACAGTTGGCCCTGGCTAAACACCTGACTATGGGATGGTTCCCTTCCTCCAGAAGAAGAAAACTGCCTTCTCCTCCAAGAAGAGGTCCTCCACACCACAGTGATCTCCCTGCCCCACAGTGCAATATGCCTTGCTCCTCTGAGTCCCTTACAGAACTGAACAGGGCAATGTCTTTTCTCCTGCCTCCTCCTCTCCACCAATTTCTCAACCAGGTGTGTAATGGATAGAGATAGGAAGATGCTGTGAGAGGCATCAATGAAAGGGCACTGTTGTCAGAGTGGGGGACTTGGTCCACGTACTAGTTATATGACCTCAGACCACTCTTACTGGAGCACTACAGAAGAATAAGCAGCAGACTGGCCCTGGGAGAGTCTGATGTCTGGTGGCACAGGGCTCCTTTCATGACTTCTTTATGTCTGAAAAACCCTTCACAGTATATGGAGGGCTTTCACAGCCATCTCACTGAACCACACAAAAGCCAGCGAAAACATGAACCCCTTTGACAGATGAGGAAATCAAGGTTCTGAGAAGCAAGTCACTTGCCAAGGTTCCCAATGCTAAAGCACCTACCAGTCCAAGGCTCTCTATACTTCATCACTGTGCTCTCTTTTAGAAAGTTCCTGAGCAGCAAGATGACCAGGTAAATCCTGGCTTCAGTGCCATTTACCCCAAAAGCATGGGAGGTAAAAGATCCTGCCATGGGTACCAAATGAAATGGATTCTTAACAACACCTCCTGCTTCACTGTCCAGTCTTCCCTGCTCCTGTCTATTCCTCACAGAACTAAGAAAGACAATGCCTTCTTCCTGCCTCCTCCTCTTTACTGACTTCTCAGCCAGGTGTATAATGGGAAAACTTCAGAAGAGAGATGGGAGGACACCAATGAGAGGTGCTACAGTAGAGTTGATACAATGAAAGGATGTTCTTCAGCAGATAGAAAGGTCCCAGAAGGGTCATAGCAGCATTTCAAGGGGTCAACTTAGAGATTCCAAGTGCCAGAAATTAATAGTGTCATTCTTGTCACAAGTCAAACCAACAGGCCTGTCTCAAGGGTTAAAAGCTTAGGCATGGCCAGGTGTGGTGGCTCACACCTATAATCCTAGCACTCTGGAAGGCTGAGGCAGGCAGATTGCTAGAGGTCAAGAATTCAAAACCAGCCTGAGCAAGAGTGAGATCCCGTCTCTATTATAAATAGAAAGAAATTAATTGGTCAACTAATATATATAGAAAAAATTAGCCAGGCATGGTGGCACATGCCTGTAGTCCCAGCTACTTGGGAGGCTGATGAGGGAGGATTGCTTGAGCCCAGGAGTCTGAGGTTGCTGTGAGCTAGGCGGACGCCACGGCACTTACTCTAGCCTGGGCAACAATGCAAGACTATGTCTCAAAAAAAAAAAAAAAAAAGCTTAGGCATATGTAAAGTGCATGTAAACTAGGTCTGTGTTTCACAACTTGGTACTTTTTATTAGACTTTGTTTAATGATAAAGTATCAGGATTTTATTAATGCATTTAATGAGACATGGTTATGTGTATAAAAACATTAAACATCAAATGGTGCCAAAGAAACATTTACTCCTACAATAAGAAAACGTGACGAAAGGTCTGGACACATATCATGTGGACACCTTCTAAGAGCTATGAACCATCTTCCCATGGGCATGTCCTTTCCTTTATTAGTGACTTTAACATTCTTGGGCTCTGATTTTGTTCAAAACCTGCAATAAGGCTTGTTAAGGCCATGGATGGCAAATTTTGTGCACAATGTGTACAAAAGATACAAAACCATGTCTCCTTAGACTCAAAGAAAAGAGATCTAATTTATGGGCACTTATAGGACAAGTCTTACGTTAAGTGCTTTATATGTGTGTGTGTGTGTGTGTGTGTGTGTGTGTGTGTGTGTGTGTGTGTGTGATATTTTATTTGCTCTTTAAAACAACCTTACATGGCAGGAAATATTATACCCATGTTACAGATTAAGTAATCAAAATTCAGAGCTGGGCACAGTGGCTCACACCTGTAATCCTAGCACTCTGGGAGGCAGAGGTGGGAGGATTACTTGAGGTCAGGTGTTACAGACCAGCCTGAGCAAGACTAGGACCCCATCTCTACTAAAAATAGAAAAATTAGCAGGGCATCATGGCCCACACCTATGGTCCCAGCTACTTGGGACGCTGAGGCAGGAGAATCACTTGAGCCCAGGAGTTTGAGGCTGCAGTGAGCTATGATGATGCCACTGCAATCTAGCCTGGGCGACAAAGCAAGACTCTGTCTTTAAAAAAAAAAAAAAAGGAAAGGAAAAGAAAAAAAGAAATTAAGATTCAGCGCTCACATAGCCAATGAGTGACAGAGCTGCTCTTCAATCTAGGTTTGTCTGACCCAAAAGCACATGCTCCCTAAAAAAGACACCTAAACAAATCTGTTTCACCTTAAAAATAACTCCACTTTCCCATATTTGACTTCATTTTCAGGCTGTCCATCTATAAAACTTTAAATTTCAATAATCTTTCTGGGTATGTGCAGAAAACCAGCAAAGGCATCCAAAGGCAGAACTGTCCCCATCCAAGCTCCCCAACCTAGTTGTCCCTCTGTATCTACAGGTTCTACATCTGCAGATTCAAACAACTGGGGATGAAAAGTATTAGAAAAAAATAAGTAAAAAATAACAATATAACAATAAAAAATAATATAAATTTTTAAATACAGTATAACAACTATTTATATAGCATTTACATTGTATTAGGTATTATAAGTAATCAAGAGATTTAAAGTATATGGGAAGATGCATGTAGGTTATATGCAAATACTACGCCATTTTTGTAGAAGGGACTTTAGCATTGTGGATTTTTGTATACACGGCGGGTCCTTCCTGGAACCAACCCTCCCCCAAACAACAAGAGACGACTGTATATAGATACTCAGTCACCCATACTTCCTCTGGCCAGACACCAAATCTTAACCAAATAATAGAAATTAAGTACAGTCACAGGTTATAATCAAATTCTCATAACTTTACCAATTCCCATCTAGAAGAGACTATTTAAAATTATATTTATTTCATGGAGTTAGTTTTAAAAGAACCATTATATCTAACAGTTTGAGGTCTTTTAGCATTTGCATAAAAAACACACCAAAAGACCATAGGAATGAGACCATACCAAGCAGCCCACGGAAAGAAGCATGTGAAGCAACACAACTGTCACAATTGTGGCCAAGGCGATGCGCCGGTTATCCTCACGAACAGCTGGCCAAAACGTCATTGCCAAGACAGATCCTGAGATGCTCAGGGCTATCATGACTAGAATCCAACGAACAGCTTTCTGGGGGATAATCCACAGTATCTGAAAGAAGAGAAAAGAAGGGAGGGAGGGGTCCTTTGGAGGCATTTCAGAGAGGCATTTGTTCACTCTAGGCACATATATTGACAAAGGCCCCTGAGCCAATCAGCAGCCGGGTCCCAACTGTAAAACTCTAGTTTTTCAGTACAGGCTGGAGAAACACACCAGCACGTGGACTGAGGCAAATGCTTTCAGGACGGAAGGCTCAGGATCCCGTGAGAGCACTTGGCTCCCCAGGCCCCATTCATGCTGAACTTCTAAATTCAAAGGGGATTTTCCAGGAGCACATGAAATAATGATGCTTGGCCAAATTCACGGTTGAAGTTTCAACCAAGATCAGAGCCTCACTCAGGATCTGCTCCCAAGTGTGGTACTTACTGCTGTGGGGATATAAATGAAGAGTGAGTATCCATAGACGCACACAATCTCCAGAAACGAATAGGAAACGATGTTCATAACTTTGCTGTTTCTCCACATGAGGAAACCCCAGAGTGCGAGAGGAACCAGCCAGGCGTAGGCATAGATGATGGTGGCTGCTATGGACACTAAGAATGACAGGACACGGGTTTCAATTGCCATCCTGCCTTCATGGACCATCAGAGCACTTCCAGTACCTTACTGTGTTATTTCCTGACATGTCGATATACTTCAATGGACCATGGAATCATGTCCTACTGGTCTGTATTCCCTGAGCCTGGCACAGTACCTGACACATAGTAGGCACCCTGCAAATGTTTACAGCACTAATGCATCTTTAGCACTTGCCTTGGTGGTGATGACCAGTAGTCTTTTATATGGTTTTTATAATTCCTTTAATAACAACTAATATTATTAAACAACTAAATTATGCAACTGAAATACTTCAGAGGCTCCACTGCAAGTGTTTAAATCTGCTGAGCATTTCCATCAAATAAAAGCCAACTATCCCTTGGAAGAACACGTTCTCTTCCCTAGCATAACAAGAGCTGACACTGATTTCCTAAGCAAATTTATTAAACCGCTCTGGGTACAAATGAACTTGCTCTGCGTGCTAATTAGAACTCCTTCTGTCTCTAAAATAGGAAGTTCCAGCTCATTGATGAATTGCTTGAAATATTCTCCAGTTTTACTTTCTTCCTTAAACAAATAATTCTGCCTCTGTGGTGGAAATGCTATTGAGTGGCTCCTCAGAATAGCAATGTTCAGTATATCACTGATTTGTTTTTACTCTTCTGGAGCAGTTATGGCTAAGCCCATGGTACCAGTCCTTTCTACATAAAAATCAGCAGGTAATTCCCTTACACACATCTTGGCAAGAATGAAAGCATCCCCAGACTTTGGTTAAAACATGTGATTGTCCAAAACGTTTTTAGCTCCCAAAGTAGTTTTTTCACATTGAGGATTCCTTCATTAAGCCAAATATAATTCTGCTGATATACTGCCTTTTTCTTGGATACTAAGGGAAAAAGAGGGAAGTACTACTATGGCTATAGCTAACACTTGCTGATCACATCCTGGGCACGCAGTGCTTTACTGACAGACAAGGTAGTACAATGGTCAAGGGCACAGATTGTATATGTAAACTCCATGGGTTCTAATCCTAGGCAAAGTAACTCTGGGTGGTGAGTTATTTAACCTCATCTGTAAAATGAGAATAAAAATTTATATTACCTTATAAGATTATTAAGAGAATTAAATGAATAAAAATAGGCAAGAACTATTCTAAATAGAACAGTGACTGATAAACAATAAATGCTCAATGAAGAGTTAGCTTTTTATATTATTAACTAATATGCAGATACATTATTTCATATAATCTGTATTTTCATTTTATTTAAAAAATTTTTTAATTTAGAGATAGGGTCTCACTCTGTTGCCCAGGGTGGAGTGCAATGGTGCAATTATAGCTCACTACAACCTCAAACTGCTGGGCTCAAGCAATCTCCCAAGTAGCTAGGACTATGGGTAAGTACTACCATGCCTGACTGATTTTTTTAATTTTTAGTAGAGATGGGGTCTTGCTATGTTGCCCAGGCTGGTCTCATGCCATGGCCTCCCAAAGCACTGGGATTATTAGGCATGAACCACGGCACCCAGCCTATCCTCATTTTAGAGATAATATAGAGCTTAACACATACTATTTACAGCAATATTCATTTACCTAATTTCCTTAACCACTGAATTAGCTGAAGGCAGCATTTACATCTCATGAATAACATGTATTGAGTTAAACTCAAAGCAAGGTTATTTAATAGAGTTGGGACTGAATCCAGGTCCGACTCCCTGATGGAGAGGGAAAGAAGAGAAAGTGGGCATGGAAGGTAAGGGAAAGAAAAGAAGGAAGAATACTTGGATACTGGCACACACATAGGCAAATACATATCTCTCCATACACACATAGATATATATGTGTATGTATTTATGTGTGTGTATATATGTAGCAATAATATTTATTGAACTTTTTTGTACAAACCATTATTAAAGGTTAACTCTTTATATGTATCAACTATTTATTCTTACTATAGCCATATAATAGAAGTATTTTCTTTTTTATTTCTTGATTATACTTACACTTTGCAGAAAAGTATTATTATTTCCACTTTACCAGTGAGGAACCTGAGGCCAAGAGAGATGAAATCCCTTGCCCAACAAGGTAGAAGCTAGTGGGTGGTGGAGCTGGAACTTGAAGCCAGTGTCTGGTTCCAGAACCTGTGCTTGTCCCAGGCTACCTACAGCTTCCCAACAGGAGAGTAGGCAGAGAGGGAGGCAGGGAACTGAGAAAGTGGTGCAGGTCAATCTCATACTAGCCAAACTTCCTCATTTGAGGGTGGCTGTCATCAGCAAGTCCCTAAAAGCTGTTTTGTATTTTAACTACCCAATACTGACACAAGAAAGGAAGTTTAGAAACAAGAATGTCATTCATAAGCCCATCACTAGGACACATTCATTTTTGCATTTTCCCTTCCAGGCCTTGACCATTTGCAGACTTCTCTTTAACAAAGTTGCTAACAGAACAGGCACCAGTTTGGCATAAATTATCAGTTTTCCACCTTGCTCTAAGTGCTTCATAATTAATGATTTCAGGCAATGCTAGCTAGTTGAGCCATCGCAACTTAAATATTAATAATAATATCTCCATTGTTTCCAATATTTGGACAATACAAATACTGCTACAATGGAGACCTTTATGTACACTCTTTTACACTTATTTTGTACATTTTTCTGAGAATAAATTCCAGTTGCTACTGGGCCTGGCCTTACACCTTTCCCAAAGATTATGTGAATTCACAACATTGTGAATATACTTAATGCCACTGAATTGTACACTTAACCACTTAGGGACCAGCGTTGACTATAGTCGATAGCCACAGATGAATGCACACAGCGACTTTAGCCGACAGGCGCGATATGAAGGCTCACAGCTGAGCATTGACTTTAGCTGACAGCTGTGATATGACTTTTCTAATTTTTCATTTATCAAAATAAAATTGTGAACATTTAAAAATAATATAATGAAAACATATATGTATATGTTATCTATTCTGATTTACATTACAAGTAAAGCTGCCTGTAAAGTAAAACAAGCTTTCAGTGCTTTACAGCTTTCCTTATCACACAAGAGCAAAACGGATTTGTCGTCAATGCACAGCACAAGCTACCGTGCGGACTATGAGTGCTGGCTGTGGGCAAGGTTTCGCAGCCGATGAGCGCCATACCGAAGTGGTTAAAATGGTAAATTTTATGTTACATGTATTTTACCACAGTAAAAAAAGAAGATTCTGTGGATTTATATAGATGTGTGGTAATCTCTCAGGCAGTAGATGTGCTGGATGCTGGAACCTTCGAACACAGAAAGCAGGGCTGCAGCACCCCGACATGGGGCCCCAGGGCTCAAAGCGATGGCACTCAAATGAGTCAAGCTATTCACCAACCTTTTCGGAATTCGGGCACATAATGGTACGTCTTCTCCCCCAGATGGATTAGGAAGTTGGAAAGATTCCCACTGATTGCTATGGCAAAGACCAATGTGGCACATATCCAAAAGGGGCCTGCAAAGGAAACCAGAAAATTCAGAAACAAGAAAATAAAGCAAAAGCCTTTTGATTCTTAGAGAATTATTTCTTATCTCCCTTTCCCTATTCATGTAAGCAAGGGAAAATGAATTTTAGATGTAATCAACACTTGTTAAAGGGAATTTTCTTTCTTTTTTTTTTTTTTTTAAGACAGTGTCTCGCTTTGTTGCCCAGGCTAGAGTGAGTGCCGTGGCATCAGCCTAGCTCACAGCAACCTCAAACTCCTGGGCTCCAGCAATCCTCCTGCCTCAGTCTCCCGAGTGGCTGGGACTAGAGGCATGTGCCACCATGCCTGGCTAATTTTTTCTATATATATTAGTTGGCCAATTAATTTCTTTCTATTTATAGTAGAGATGGGGTCTCGCTCTTGCTCAGCTGGTTTTGAACTCCTGACCTCGAGCAATCCACCCACCTCGGCCTCCCAGAGTGCTAGGATTACAGGCATGAGCCACTGGTCCCAGCCTGGAATTTTCTTTTTTAAAAGGTCAAAACACAACTCAGTAATTAGTTGCCTTAAATATGGGGTGGGGAGCAGGGATTTGAATCCGAAGGCCAAAACACCTTCCACAATTAGGAGAATAAACACACTGATTTATGTGTAGCTTCTTTTATTGGAAGATCACCAAAAAAAAAAAAAACACCAGGCATTTTGTTAAACCTTCTATCAGAATACATGAAGCAAAGATTACTTCCCTTATCCAAGTGCCAAATGTTAATGTCAGAGAAAAATAAGTTAAATCAGACAGGTCTTTTTGCAGCATATGCAAAAGGCAGAGCAAGCAGAACACCTGAGGGCAGAGTTAATTTAATCTACCAGTTCCCCATGATTGTGTTTGACTGTGTTTAAGGCTTGCTTTCTTTTCTTTTCTCTTCTCTTCTCTTCTTTCTTCCTTTCTTTCCTTTCTTTCTTTCCCTCCCTCCCTCCCTCCCTCCCTTCCTTTTTCCTTCCTTCCTTCCTTCCTTCCTTCCTTCCTTCCTTCCTTCCTTCCTTCCTTCCTTCTTTCTCTTCCTTCCTTCCTTCCTTCCTTCCTTCCTTCCTTCCTTTCTTAATGAAAAATCAATACTCATACAAGTTGTGTTCCAAAGATACAAAAGGGAATATTGAGAACAGCAAGCTTCCCTCCCTCTCTCTGCCCTGGCTCTTCCTTTCCCCTTCCAGAGCTATACACACACACATACACACACACACACACACACACACACACACACATACATATATATACATACATATGTTTTTGTCCATGGTTCCTGGCTTATAGCTCCCATAGCCCTTGTTACAGTAAACAAAATCTCTCTTTCCAACCTTCTCCTGCCCTCCTTTCACCTGCCCAAGGCAGGACTCTAATCTGTGAGTTCTAAGATCCCCATTCCAGAGAGGGTCCTGCCATATACACTGGAGGAAGGAATGCTGACAGAGAGGCCAGGAATCTGAATAGACAGGCCTTGCTGGATTTAGATCATACCCTTTTTGTCCAATCACATTTCTACATGGTTGCCAATCATGCCTATCCAAAGATGTCTTCAAAAAAAGGCCCAAAAGGATAGGATTCGGAGAGCTTCTGGATAGCTGAACAAGTCATGGTTCCTGGAGGGCAATGTACCCCAAGAGGGCATGGAAGCACCATGCCTGCTCCCCCATACCTCTCCCTATGCATCTCTTCATCAATATCCTTTGTAATATCCTTTGTAATGACCAGAAAACATTAAGTGTTTTCCTGAGTTCTGAGAGCTGCTCCAAAAAATTAATTGAACCCAAAGAGGAAGTCATGGGAACCCCAACTTGAAGTCAGTCACTCAGAAGTTCCAGAGGCCCAGACTCACCACTGGTGCCTAAAAGGAGGGGGGCGATCTTGGGGACTGAGCCCTCAACTTGTGGGATCTGATGCTATCTCCAGGTAGACAGTGTCAGAATTCAGTTGGAGGATACCCAGCTGGTGTCCACTGCTTATTGGTGGGGAACCCCCCTCCCCCCCCCCGACAGTGGTCATGGAAGTATTTTGTGTAGATTGGTGTGAGAGCACAAGAAAAGCACGGTTTGAGTGTTTTCCACAAACACCACTGTAACCAGTTTCTGGTGAATCTTGCCAGAAATATTTTATTCACATATAAGCGAACACATATGTGTGCATGTACACATTTTATACAGATGATAGCATACATACATATCCTGCTATGCACCTTTCTATCTTCACCTTATTATAGCCTAGAGATTCTACTATAGCCATTCATAAAAATCAGTTTAGTCTTTTCTAATGGTTATAAAATATTCCACTGAGTGAATGGGTGCACCACGCTTTGCAAACCCCTTTCATCATTTGTTTGATTTCATGAACACTATCCTTGTCTCTTCCCACCTAAAAAAAGTACTATGTAGAACAAATGTAATTTTTAAATTGAGATATTTTAGTACTTTTATAAATTTCATATTTCAATTTCACTAATATTTTACAATACAGTTTGGGATAATTTAAGGTACCTTTACATATCACAAAATTAAGATAATTATTTATTATCCCAGGAGGGTTGGCTAGCAGAAATAGATTAGTACTTTTCAAAGCCAAGCACTGGCCCCTGAAGGTGGGAAAGAGAACACAAGCCATCAACCGGGATGCTCCAAAGAGTCACCAATATTAGCTTTCCACAAATCGCCTGTTTAATCACTAGACTATAAGCCAGGGGTCCTCAAACTTTTTAAACAGAGGGCCAGTTCACTGTCCCTCAGACTGTTGGAGAATGCGCACTGTGGGCCCAGGAAGAGTCGGCTGCTAAGCGTGATGGGCAGCGGCGGCAAAAACACCCAGAGGGCCGGATAAATGTGCTAGGTGGCCCTCATGTGGCCCACGGGCCGTAGTTTGAGGACACCTGCTGTAAGCTCTGCTGTAGCCAAGGACAAAATCTCACCATAGATTCTGAGTGCCTACCACATAAGAGATGCAAACCAACAAACAAAAACCCCACCAAACCCCCACAACTGAAAAGCTTTATTGAATGAATGAATAAAACTTGACTGTGTGTTATAGATGGGCTGAGATCATCCAAGCAAATGACCATAAGTAGCCAAAATATTAATCTATAATACCTATATAACTAGAAAGCCAAGATTATCATATCCTGTCAGCAATTATTTACTAAGTACCCATGACCTCTTGGCCCCAGGCTAGGTGCTGGAGACACAGTGATGTGCAACAGAGACACAGTCACTGTCTCTCATGCACTCAGGCACACTGCAGAGACAGACAATAAAATATCCAATCTCGAGAGTTTTGAAGATGGAAACACAGGGTGCCCATGGGAGCACACGGGAGGGCACCAAGCCTAGAGAAAGTAGTGTCTAAGCAGGGATCTAAAAAAGAGCAGGAGTTGCCAAATGAAGACTGAAGAGTGGTCCAGGAGGGAACAGCATGAGAAGAGAACCAAGAAGAGAGAACAATTTGAGGCTAAGGATGTTTGAGGTTGGGAGTAGCCAGAGATTGGAGAGATGGGCCAGGATCAGATCATGAAGGGTCTTAGAAGGTCCTGTTGAGGTAGGAATTTATCTTGAGGGCAAAAGAAAGCCTAGGACCTGCAGGTGGTGAGCGCCTGCAGTCCCAGCTACTCAGGAGGCTAAGTTGGGAGGATCACTTGAGGCCAAGAGTCCAAAGCTGCAGTGTGCCATGACCTCACCTGTGAATAGCCACTGCACTCCATCCTGGAAACACAGTGAGACCTCATCTCTTTAAAATAAAAAAAAAAAAGGAGGCCAGCATGGTGGTTTACACTTGTAATCCTTGTAACTCCTGACCTCAAGCAATCCTTTTGCCTCTACTAAAAATGGAAAAAATTAGGCAGGCATCATGGTATGCACCTATAGTCCCAGCTACTGGGGCTGGGGAGAGGCTGCAGCAAGAGGATACCTGGAGCCCAGGAGGCTGCAGTGAGCTATGATCCCACCACTGCATTCCAGCCTGGGCAACAGAAAGACCCTGCCTCAAAATAAAAAGCTTTGGTATGAGGAAATATTCACACTGATTTAAAGACTTGTCTAGCATTCTCTGGCTGCACCATGCCCTAAGCCGCCTAACAACCCTGGCACAGGAACAGCTGGAGGAACAATATTTTCAGGTGGTCTGAAATATCAACTCCTGCCTACCATACTATCCCTGTCTGGCTCAATCTCAATAAATCATCCTTTGGCAGAAAACTTTCCTACCACTTAGCATTCTTGTCCCCTTTGCTATTATCCTCTTTCCCTGCTGTTTGCAACCTTCAATGAAGCCCTACTGCTTAAGGACAAAATTCAGATTCCTCAGGCTGATATAAAAAGCTTATGAGATCTGGGCTCTGTAACCTCTCCAGCTACCCCCAGAAGAAGCTTGGACTCTAGAGACACACAACACCCATTCATCGCAGGGCCTGCCATGTTGCTTCACACTGCCTTCTCCCTCTTTCCTGCCAAATTCCTGCTCTTATTATAGGGTGAGGATAGCAGAGAGCCTTAATTTAGTTTGTATTTATAATTAAAAGTTCACATTATACATTTTTATATTATGAAATATTTCTAACATACAGAGAGACACAACAAATTATTTTTAAAAAACACTGGTGTGTCTATCTTGCCACTTAAAACATTTATTTCGGCCGGGCGCTGTGGCTCACGCCTGTAATCCTAGCTCTCTAGGAGGCCGAGGTGGGTGGATCGTTGGAGCTCAGAAGTTCAAGACCAGCCTGAGCAAGAGCCGAGACCCCGTCTCTACTAAAAATAAATAAATAAATAAATAAATAAATAAAACAAACATTTATTTTTCCTTAGAGACGGGTCTTGTTCTGGTGCCTCTGCTGGAGCACAGTGGTGTGATCATACCTCACTGCAGCCTCAAACTCCTGGGCTCAAGGGCCTACCTCAGCCTCCAAGTAGCTAGGACTACAGGCACATGCTACTACATCCAGCTAATGTTTTTATTTTTTGTAGAGATAGGGTCTCCTTATGTTGCCCAAGCTGGTCTCAAACTCCTGGCCTCAAGCAATCCTCCTGCCTCCGCCTCTCAAACCACTGGGATTACGGGTATGAGCCACCATATCTAGTCTAAAAATCTTTTTAATGTTGTCATACTATTCATATCCTTCTACAACATGCTTTTTTCCCCCATTTACCATTGTTCTGAGATCTATCCATTTATTCATTTAAAAAAACTATAGAAATCCATGTATGAATACACCATAATTATATATCCGCTCTCCTGCTGATGGATATTTTGGTTGTTTCTAAATAATTCTCATTACAAGCAATACTTCTGTAGTAAATAATATTGTTCTGTATGTCATCTTGTACATATGTGAGTTTCTCCAAAAATGTACATCTAGGAGTGAAAATGCTGAATCACAGGATATGAGCATCTTCAAACTGCTCCAATTTGTATACCAATTACATACACACCAGCATCATACAGAAGTTCCCACTGCTCCACATCCTTGACAACACTTAGCATCAATGTTTATGAAATCTGACTTAAAGTCTGTCATTCCTCTGCCCAAGCCCTCCAATGGCTTCTCATTCAAGTAAAAGCCAAAATCTTCCATGTGACTGATGAGACCTTACATAATCTGACCCTCCACACCAGGTGTCCTCAAATTACGGCCCACAGGCCACATGCAGGTGTTTTTGCCCATTTGTTTTTTTACTTCAAAATAAGATACGTGCAGTGTGCATAGGAATTTGTTCATAGTTTTTTTAAACTATAGTCCAGCCCTCCAATGGTCTGAGGGACAGTGAACTGGCATCCTGTTTAAAAAGTTTGAGGACCCCTGCTCCACACTGTCTCTGTGACCTCATCTCCTACTAGGCCCCCTCATTCATTCTCATCCGGTACACTAGTCTCTTCACTGTTTTTTGAACACACCATGCAAGCTCCTACCTCAGGACCTTTGCACTGCTGACCGCTCTGCTTCAAATGCTCTTCCCTTAGGTATCTACATGAATCACTCCCAATTCCTTCATGTCTTTACTCAAAATTCACCTTTTTAAAATTTCAAATTCATCCATCCACACAAACATTTCACGTCCTTCCTGTTTGAAAATTTTCACCTTAGTATTTGTTACTAGAAAACTCTATATTTTACTTTTCTTTGCTTATTGTTAAACTCAATCAATTACAAACTGCCTAAAGGCAGAGGTTTTTCTATTTTCACTGCTGTATCTCTAGTACCTAGAACAGTAAGTGCTCATTGTTTGTTAAATTAATTCAGTGAATGAACTAAAACAAGCCAACTTGTATTAACATAATATGCTTGTTAAAATAACAGGCATAAATAAATACCTTGTTTTAGTTTTTATTTCCCTGATTACAGGTGGGGCTAAGTAGCTTTTCATGTATTTACTGGCCATTGGATTTCCTCTTCCGTAAATTGCCCATTTTCCCCCAGAGTTGCTTGTTTTATTTTTATAGTTTGTAGGAGTTCTAAATATACTCCTGCTTCTCGTCTTTTGTTGGTTATATGCATTGCAAATATTTCCCCTTGCCTGTGGTTTATTTTTTCCTTTGCTTATGGTTTATTTTGTTGTGTAGAAATTTTTAGTTGAAATGTACTCAAATTCATCAATCTTTTCCTTACACTCTGCAGAGACTTTCTCCTAACCACCTTCCTCTAACCCACCCTACAAGGCCTAGTCCTCTCTACTATAAAACACTTCACCTACTTTGTACTTCCTCCTTTTAACCATGTCTATGAGCTAATGAGGCTACCTGTGTCATGGAAAAGAAGCAAGCTCTGGGTTCGAACCCTGGCTTTGTCATGAGAGGCAGCATAGCATAGTTACGAAGAATATGGATTACGAACCATGGTGTTGATTTGAAAACTGAGCTTGGCACTTATTGGCTGTGTAATCTCAGGCAAGTTACTGGATCTCTGTGTGAGTCAGTGTCCTTATCTATAAAATGGGGATAATAATGGTATCTGCCTGATAAAGTTGGGGGTGTCACAAGGTTTAAATTAGTTAATATAGGTTCTGCCCTAATAAAAGAGTCTAGCACATAATAAGCACTACATGCATAGGCTATTATTGTCATTATTACTAACTCTGAAACTATGGACAAGTTACCCTCCTCAAGCCTCAGTTATCTTTTGTAAGATAAGGCTACCTTGGAGTATGGGAATAGTGCTAGTAAAATAGTAAAACAGTGGGGTTTTTTTTGGTTTTTTTTTAAATTAAAATATCTTTAAACTTTTCTCTTTTTTTGTTGTTGTTTTTTTTTTTTAAAGATACATGGACGAAAGTAAAACAGTATTTATCTCCAATGTTGGCAGTTATAAGGTACTCAAGAGATGTTAGTTCTCCTTCTTCTAACTCCTTGGGTCTAGGTACTATGGCCTTATCTTTAAATCCTCAGCCTCTAACATAGGGCCTAGCTAAGTGCCCAAAAACTGTCTGAGCACCTGCTCTGTGCCAAGGCCTCTGCCCGGCACTGAAGGCATGGATTACTGAGACACAGAGTCTGCCCCTCAACAAGTTCTCAGGCTAGAAGAAAGAATGAATGAGATAGCTAGAAAGAGAAAATACCTAGACAACCTTCAGATGAGAGGCATGGGCCAGTACAATGGTTTTCACATCAGGCTCCCTGGAATTCTGGGAATTTCACAAAGCCTGTATTTCAAATCAACATATATAATTGCTTTACTACTTATCATTTACGATTAAGGATTGTATCAATGAACCTCAGTGTCAGATTCCTCATGTGAAACGTGGGGATACTTTGCAAGGGTTTGCTGCAAGAAAGAAATATGACCAAGTACGCATAGTCTCTGGTATATCACCTGGTACACCAATAGCACTTGCTTTCCCCATCAAACACAGGCCACTAGGCCGGGTGCGGTGGCTCACGCCTGTAATCCTAGCACTCTGGGAGGCCGAGGCAGGTGGATTGCTCGAGGTCAGGAGTTTGAAACCAGCCTGAGCAAGAGTGAGACCTCGTCTCTACTATAAATAGAAAGTAATTAATTGGCCAACTAATATATATAGAAAAAATTAGCTGGGGATGGTGGCACATGCCTGTGGTCCCAGCTACTCGGGAGGCTGAGGCACTAGGATCGCTTGAGCCCAGGAGTTTGAGGTTGCTGTGAGCTAGGCTGATGCCATGGCACTCACTCTAGCCTGGGCAACAAAGTGAGACTCTGTCTCAAAAAAACCAAACAAACACAGGCCACTGTTGTGGGTGCCCTTTCCTCAGGAGCACTGGGTGGACCTCTGAGTTTTTTCAAACAGTAGGAAGGTCAGGATGACAGCCATCCCTGGCCCAGTTCAGTTTCAGACTTCCAGGGCTGGTGATCACATCCCAAGGTGAGCTACATCATCTGAGGGCAGAGCTGGAACTCAGCACATCAATGGAAAAGTGTAAGAATACCTTCTCCCCACCACCAAATCCTCCATAAATTAAAATCAACAATCTCCTCTTAGTCAAAGTGACTTAATCTGTCTCAAGTTTGTAATGTCACTTGAAGACTTTTAAAGGACATGCTAGTACTTGTAATTATGGCATTAATATAACACGTAATTGCATCTTCCCAAAAATTCTTTGCAAAGGTTGCTACTGAAGCTCAGAAGAGTCAAAATGTTGCACACCCCACTAGCAGTGCAATCCTCCAACTTTCTAGGCAACCCTCACACTCCCCCAAGTTCAACTGAAATATGGTGAAGAATCAAATCAGCACCACACATACCATAGAGATCTGGATTGCTGCGTATATACAATCTCACAAAGTTTTTTCCAGGTATCGGCAAAAGAGACCCTTTAATTCTGTCAAAGACCTGGAAAACAACATAGCGGTGATTCTACTAAAGATTTTTTTTCAAGCTTAACAAATTCAAATTCTACAAAATTGAAATTCAGTCAGAACTTTTATGATAGTATTTTCAAATGCTAATAACCCTTTACTTTTGTAACACCATGTCCAGTATATAAAGGCTTTCACATTATTTCTGTGGTTTAACCATAGAAGAAACAAGCCTCCATTTCATGTAAGAGGAAAGGTAAAATTGGTTTACAAACCTGGTAAGTGTCCACATCAAAGAATGTTTGATAGTATTCAAATGTCCAGAAGGGGGAGCTTTTCTTCTGTCCAGCAAGTAGCTGTCAGAGGTAAAATAAAACATAATGAACACAGAAGCAATTTTCTAATTCCAACTGCAGAGAGAGAGAGAGGGAGGGAGGGAGCTGATCTAATGGAAAATCAAAACATATGAAACACCAGGCTCTTCCGCATCTATTAACCGATTCTGAAATAGCCAACACTCAACTCTCAGCCTAATAAAAAAACAAGCATCAGTTTTTTTAAAGTCACACCAAAAGGGTTCAAATTCTGGTCTCTCTACTGAGGGGAGCTTCAGCAAATCCAGACACTAGACTCCTCTTAGGCTTAGCTCCCTTATCTAAATAAAGTACATCTGGGAACCTATATTCAGGGCAACCTGAATCTACTCTGCCAGGTTGCAGTCTTCAAACTTGGCCCAAATAAACTCTCTACTTACATTAAAAACAAACGAACAAAAATATAGCTAACAAGATCTACCTCATAGGATTATAGGGCAGACTGGGTTCAATAGTATACAGAATATGTATTACGTACAATAACATATACACATACACACACCCATAAAAGCAGTCAGTATACATGTGTTTTCCTCCTCCATCCGTCCAAGATCCTTCCTACTATTGCCTCCTAAATTCTTAAAAATCTGACATACTGACTCACTCAGTACTAAAAATATTACTGCTCTGACAAAAAACCAAAATTCCGATTTAGAAGAGGAATCTGAGGAGGGCCATGCCCATCCCAACAGCACAGCTCCGCAACAGCAGAATGCAGGCCCTATGCCAGGAATCGTGACTGCCACCTTCAGAAATCTGAAGAACATTCGTACAGCAAAAGTACACGTGGACTCTGAGCAGCTCTGCAGAAGGGCAGGTGCTATGGGAAGATATTCTTTGCTCATTATTAAAGAAAAAAATTTCACAATTCAAGTCCAACAGTGGCAGCTGCTGCCTTACATGGTAGTGAACGGCGTGTTTCTGGAGGTATTCAAGTGTTTTCTTTCTGACACACCAAGGACAGCATTAATATCTTGGGAGAGAGGCTGAAATGGAGGACCTGAAGGTTCTTTCCAACTTTAATACTACAAGATATTGGACATGGGCCGGGCGTGGTGGCTCATGCCTGTAATCCTAGCTCTCTGGGAGGCCAAGGCAGGTGGATAGTTTGAGCTCAGGAGTTTAAAACCACCCTGAGCAAGAGCGAGACCCCGTCTCTACTATAAATAGAAAGAAATTAATTGGCCAACTAATATACATAGAAAAAATTAGCCGGGCATGGTGGCACATGCCTCTAGTCCCAGCTACTAGGGAGGCTGGAGGCAAGAGGATCGCTTGAGCCCAGGAGTTTGAGGTTGCTGTGAGCTAGGCTGATGCCATGGCACTCATTCTAGCCTGGGCAACAAAGTGAGACTCTGTCTCAAAAAAAAAAAAAAAAGATATTGGACATGGGAGCCCCACATTCCATAAGCGGGGCTCTCTGTCCTACTATCCCAGGTCCCTCTGCAAGTGTGCTTCCCATGGACAACTATGGGCTGTCTGCCTGCCTGTTTCCCCCACTAAGGCAGGGGTCATGTGTCACTTACCTTTGTAGTGTCCCTGCCTGGCACTGTACCTGGCACATGATAGATAGTGAATAAAGGCATAAATAAGCCTTAAAAATATTTTTAAAAAATTCAAAAACAAGTTCAAACCTCAGTTTTGTCAGAGTCATCATTTCCCAGTAACTCATCATCCTCTTCTCTCCCTGAGCCCCTTAGGGATCCTGGCTGATGTTTAGGGGTTTCATGAGGATCCTCAATGCTTATCGTGGTGGCATCTGGGTTTGCTGCTAGAGAAGTGGCTGCATCACCAAATTCTGAAATCAATTAGAGCACAAGGACCTCAGAAATCTCACCCAGACAAGATATGCTATACTGTTAATTTAACGACAAGCTGTTACAACATTAACTTTGCTGCAGACCCCACTTGATACAAACGGCAAAAGGTCTGAAAAAAATGTCATCTGGAAATCAATCTGACATAGAAAAATGATTATGAAAACAACAGAATTTGGAGTCAGATCTGGATTTTAGTTCTGGCTCAGCTTACTAACTACATGAGCCTGAGTAGTTAACTTAACCTCTATAAACCTCAGTGTTCTCATCTATACAATGGGGAGAATAATATTTATTTTAAGGAATTTAAGGAGAGTTAGGAAGATTAAGTAAATTCCTAAACTTCTCCTCTTTGATTCAAGTTCAAAATTTTAATGGAATTCATTTTTCCAGTAAGTCCATGTAATCACTATAGAAAACACAGGGACAAAAGCGAATGTGGAAATCATAGAGTAAAAATCATTCTTAGTCCCATCACATAATGGCAAACTATTAATATTTTGGTATAGTTCCTTTTCTTTGCATAGTGAGATTCATGCCAGTGATGATCATCCATTTATTCAACAAATATTTACTGCATGCTTACAGTATGCCAAGTACCGATCTAGGATGTGATAATACAAAATAAACAATTTTACATCCTGCTTTGTCTACTGAGGATTACATATAAAAATGAATTTGTCATATTATAACAGTCTCTAAAATGATCATTTATGTGACTGTGGAATATTCCTTTGGTGAAGATTTTATTACAAATACACAAGAAATATGTCTGTGTAGAGAAAGTTTTGGGGGAGCATAACCTTAGAATGAACACCTACCACTGTGATCACTAAGTCCAAGGGTGCAAACCATTTTCAAGGCTCTTGAATCACACTGCTAAACTGCTTTCCAAAAGAACCTTATCAATTTATGTCCACCAGCAGTGACTGAGATTTCCTGTCTCTGAGCATCCTAACATACTTTATTTAGCTGCTCTTGAATAAAAGTAAAGGCAGCTCTGAACCTTTGAAGGCCTAAGAAAGAGTACCAGCGGGACACCATTATAACACTACAAGCATGGCACAAATCCTAGCAGTAGGATGGGGCTCTTGGATAACTGAGCTCATTCTCATTGCCTTTCAGCTGTGTGAATGGTTTTATACAGAAAACTAGAGTGACTGAAATCAATCAAGTGGCTAATCTGTAACAATTACTGAAGCCTTAGTTGCCAATGCCGGGGCTGTTTAAGCAGCTTGAGGCTCTAGAGTGAGATAGTCTTTACCTTGGTAAGGCTCTAACACTCAGTAGCTCCACGACCTTGGGCAAATTACTCCGTATCTCTGAGTCTCTGTTTCTTCAACTATAAGGTATAGGTAATACCTACCGCACAGAGAGATTGTAAGGATGATACAATAAAAATTGTTATAGCTACCACTTATTGACTGGATATGACACTGACATTTAAAAAGATGGTCACAACTTTGCCAGAGGGAATCAGACCAAGGAAGATACACTTAAGTCACATATTTAAAAAGCAGTGGTTTACGAGGGTGAAGGGCATGCCAGCAGGAAGAACAGAGAGTGCCACTTTAGAAGTGCAAAGGTCAATACTCATCTAGTTGATGAGATCAGGAAAGGCTTCTTGGAGAAGATGCCACATGAGAGGATGGCCAGCGGTGCGGGGGATGGCATATCATGCAACAAGATGGGAATAAGCAAGTCCCAGAAGATAGGAAGTATGTCCCATGTTAGAGGGACAGCAGATGGAATAGTTTGATTGGAAAGTAAGGTGTGTGTATCTCTAACATGGTGACTCTTCACAAACTCCGCTCTGTGTTGGTTATTCCTATCCACCTCAGCTCCTTGAGAGCAAGACTGGGACGTGTCTTATTTCTGCCATCAGCATTCTCTGCTTCTACATCCTGGAATATCCTAAGCTAGCTTTTGCTTCTGTTTCTTTCCTGTATCAATGCCTTCCACCAGAAAGTTCCTGAATTCTACTTTTTCATTTAATACTACCATTCCTTATCAATGAAGCCTTCCATGACCCCCATAGCATCCTGCGTTCTTTTCTAACGACCAAAGTCCTTAATATAGTTTATAAAGCCCTGCATAAATTGTCACCTGCCTCCTCTCAAGCCTCACCTTGTGTCAGCCTCTCCCACCACCTGTGATCTGGAACACAGGCCTTCTTTCAATCCTTTGAGAGAGAAAAAAAAAAGCAAACTTCTTCCCTCCGCAGGGACTTTGCATGTGCTGTTCTCTACACTTGAACTTTCTCACACTATACCCCTAGATAGGGTGGCCAAGGAAGGCCTCTCTAATGAGGTGAGATTTGAACAAGCACAGGAACAAGCCATGCGGCTGCATGGAGGAGGAATGTCCCAAACAGAAAGATGGCACAAAAGCTCCAAGCTGTGAGTGTACTTGGACATAAGAGGAATAGTGACAGGCTTGTGTGGCTGGACCAGAGAGAGGACCAGAGCAGCAGAAGATGAAATCAGAGGCAGCAGATTATGTGGGGGGCTCCTAAGCCACAGAAAGGGCTCTGGCTTTCACTCCTAGTGACATGGGAGCCACCAGAAGGTTTTTAAAGAATGACATGATCTGACTTAGTTTTAAAAGGACTACTCTGCCTGCAAAGTACAGGCAGTAGAGGAGTAAGGAAGGAAGCAGGAAGACTAGTAGGAAAAAAGGGCTATAATTCAGACAAAAGGTGATGGTGACCTTGAATATAGTAGGAAGAGAGGTAAAGGTGGTGAGAAGTGGTCAGACACTAGATGAATTTTGAAGATGGAGCTGATAGTACTTGCCAATAAAGTAAATTTCTCTTTAAATATCATATCTCCTCCTCAGATATTAGAGAGCATAAGCTGTGACACCAGCTGGGTTCAAATTGGGTTTGAACCCAATTGCCTGGTTCAAATCCTGGGTTCAAATCCTGGTTTTACCACTCACTGCGTGACGATTAGACAAATCATTTAATTTTTGTGTGTCAGTCTCCTTGGTAAAACAAGGAGAATAAAATAACTATTTAATAAAGTTGACATAAGGATTAAGTGAGTCATTTATAAAGCACTTAGAACAGTGCCTGACATATAGTAAGTGCTACGTAAGTGTTTATAAAATAAATAAGCATCTCAATCCCTAGTCTACATCAGGTTCTGGGTTCTAAGTACTAATATCGCCCTGAACTTTTCCTCCAGTACTTTTATAGTTTGCATAATAGGTTTATATTTCTTTTTTAAAAAAACTTATGAGTTATTTCTGACATTTTCTTCTTTAAATTTTTAAAATTTTATTTATTATGGGTACACAATAGTTATATATCTTTATAGGGTACATGTGATATTTTGATACAGGCATACAATGTAAATTAATCAAATCAGGGTAATTGGGGTATCCATCACCTCAGGCATCTATCATTTCTTTGTGTTAAGAACATTCCAATTCTATTCTTTTAGTTATTTTAAAGTATACCCTAACTTATTGTTGATTATAGTCCCTTTGTTTTACTATCAAATATTGTTCATCCTATCTATCAAACTATATTTTTGCACCCATTAACCATACCCACTTTATTCTCCCCATCCTTGCTACCCTTCCCAGCCTCTGGTATCCATCACTATAGATATATATTTAAATGATCATTTAATATATGAATTCCCCCTCCCCATGAAATTGAGAGCTTCATAGGGAAGAAACACTATTTGGGCTAGGTGCAATAGCTCACACCTGTAATCCCAACACTTTGGGAGACCAAGGCAGGTGGATTGCTTGAGCCCAGGAGTTAGAGGGGCTGCAGTGAGCTATGATCATGCCACTGCACTCCAGCCTGGGCAACAGAGCAAGACACTGTCTAAAAAAAAAAAAAAAAAAAAAAAAAAAAGAAACAAAGAAACAAAGAATGTAAGAGAGAAAGAAAGAGACAGAAACTGTTTTGTTCTCTCTTTTATCCCTCATAGAACAATTGTCTGGTTCATGGTCGCACTCATGAGATACTTATGGATTCAATGAAAGAATGATCTGATCACATTTCCTAATTATCTTTTCACACTTTTATCTACTCTACCAGTGTATAAACTTCATCTTTTTATCTCTAGTATCCAGTACAGTTCTAAACATAAAGTAGGTGCTCAACTAAAGCAGGAACCGTATAAACATTTTCTGTAATCATTGTACTAAATTTATGATACCCATTACCAATCTGAAGGGTTATTTGGCAAAAAAAGAACAGCTAGTGTGTACAAACAGGAAAAATCTGGGTGTGGCCAGTCTTTCACCAAGATGTTTGAAATAATATTCTTTAATGGAGAAGGCAGGACACCAATGAAAATATGTTGCTGTGACTGAGAAAACAGTATCATAAAGATAAAGGTGGGCACCCAACTGATGTACCTTCAAACTGCAAGTCATCTACAGCTGCCATTCAGCCAGTGGTCTTCTCCCAATTTTGAGAAAGAAAATTTGCAGGGGTCTAAAAGGAAAAAATAAGTAAATATAATAGGATAACAGAATAAAATATCCACAAACAAATCTTATTTCAGTGTTAGAAATGGTATTGCTTTTCCTTGCCTCCTTTTTCAGTGGGGTTTGATAGGTTTATACAAAGATAACCACTAAGCATCAGATAATATCAAAACTATTATAAAGACACTAACCTCATGGGTCCAGAGGTTTCAATCAATCTCACTCACTGTGTGAATGTTTAAAGACCAGGCGCAACCTGGAGACTGAAGGATGAGGAAGGAGAGGCTGAGGTTTGAGAGAGGTGATGGAGGCAGTGAAGAACAAAGATAGTTCAGCCTAGCCAGTGGTTAAGGGCACAGGCTCTGGGATCAGACAGACCTGGGCTTGATTCCCGATTCTGCTGCCTCTTTGCTGTGTGTGCGCTCCTTGGTACCTCCGTTTCCTCATCTGTAAAATGGGTTCATAATGGTACCTACTCATACAGTGTGGGGCCATTAAATGAGACAGTGCGTGTAAGGCGCTTAGCGCAGAGCCAGGCAATTAGTAGGCGCTGGAGTGTTGGCGACCCTGCAGCCTGGGACACGGGGCAGCAGAGGCAGTGTTTCAGGGAGAGGAGCTGGGCCGCAGCGGCCCGGGCGGGCAGGAGACCCCGAGTCCCTTCAGCCCTGGACTGGCCCCACAAATCTGGCCGCCTCACCTCGCGGGGCTCGGCGTCCAGCGGGTCCCCGGAAGGCTCGAGGCTTGGACGCTCCCCGCAGGTGCTGGTCCAGCCGAGTTGCCGGAAGCAGGAGATCCGGGGGGGCGGGACTTCTCCGCCTCCTCCGGGCAGAGCCCCGCCTTCTTAAAGAGGTCGCCGCTCCCAGAGAGGGCGCTCCCAGAGACCCCTTCGGGCGGCGGGGACCCTTCCAGCTCTGCCCTCCGCTGGCGGAGACCCGCGGTTTTATGTTTTGGGGTTTTTTTTTAAGAGGGAGTTCTTCCTCAGTCGCTCTGGCTGGAGTGCAGCGGTGCGGTCACTGCTCACAGCAATGTCGACCTCTAGCGGGCTGAAGCGACCGTCCCGCCTCGGCCTCGGGAGTAGCTGGGACCTCAGACCTCGGGTTCTTAAAGAGACAGGCGCGGCGGACGGAATGGCCGGGCGCTGTGCGGGCTGCCTGCGCTCGCCCCGCTCCCGGAAGCGCAGAGAATTCTCTAGGGTTTGGGCTTTTCTTAATGTTTGTTTATACCTCATTTCTTACGGAAATATAAAATAGGATAATGAAAGACAGTAGTGAAATGGGGAAAAAGTCAGCCGAGCCTTCAGTCCCTCGGTTTCTTTCGGACATTAAAATGGAAACAGTGAGGGAGTGCTTGAGTCATTACATTGAGTTTGTGATGAGTGATCGAGGGCCGGAGGAAGTCTGTTCCCAAGCGCACCCCGAGTAAGAGGTGATTTGTTCCCTCACTCCAGCCAGTGCCCCTTGGGGGGCGGGGCTCGGGGGCGGGGCCGGCAGGGATGGGCCACCGTCTGTGTCCCCCACGGCGTCTGACCGCCACCGCAGATACGTCCGGGGCCCAGTGAACGGCCGCGGGGCTCCACTGAGTGGACCTGGCGAGAAACGCTGTGCCCTGCCTCCTGCCTTTGCCTGGCTGACGCCTGCACATCCCTCAAGCCTTTGGGGACAATTTCCTGTTTCCTATGGGAAGCTAGCCCTTGCCTCCCAGGACTTCTTTTGCTCCCGTGGTTTCCTGGGTTTGTCTCTACCTTGGCAGTACTCACCCCGAATTGTTTTTGTTTGGTCATCTATACCTGCCTGTGAGCACTTTGAGGGCAGGGACCAGGAATGATTCTGGTCTTCTGGGTCCCCAGTGCCCAGCCCAGGGCCGCAGGCACACAATAACTGCTCACTGAAGGCTAATACAAAGTGAACAAGTTCTTGCTTCACAGTTCACTCTAGATGAAACCTGTGACTTAGGCCTCATCATACTGGGCCCTTGTGGCTAACTGGAAAGACTTTATATCTGACCAATTTAATTGTAAAGAATGTGCAACAGGGACACATGACCGTGGGATCCACTGGTCTTACCATGTAACTCAGTCAACCAGAAGTAGACAGCCTAATAGAATGGTGGAGTGGCTTGTTAAAGCCACAGCTAAGACCCCAGCTTGAGGAAAACTCTCAGGGGATTGGGGCATTGTCCTCCAGCATGTAGTACATGCACTAAAGCAATGGTTTATAAATTATTCATAATGGTGCTTTGTTCTAAATACCCAGCATGCATGGATCTGCAAACCAAGGGGCAGCACTTCTTACTATCACTTTCAGTGAAACCCACTCATGGAATTTGTGCTCCCTACCTCACAGGCTTAAGTTCTGCTTGGGTTAGAGATCCTGGTTCCTGGGGACTGGCGAAGAGAAGAGAGAACACCTCTATTCCACTGACAGTTCCGTTGAATTGGAGGCTGTAACTACCACCTAGGCATTTTTTGTTCCTGTGCCAGGGTACCAGCAGGTAAAAAAAAAAAAAAAAAAAAAAAAGGAGTGCTACAGGTGGGGATAATGAACTCTAATTGCTTTAAGAAGCTAGGGCTTCTTAAAGCCCCAGAATTATGTCTGGAATTTAGGGGATTCACTGGGCATCTCCTGGGACTTCCACACCCACTGATAATGGCAAACAGGCAACTGTAGCAACTATAGCCTGACAAGGGCATCTAAGGTCTCAGATCACTCAGGGACGAAGGTCTAAATCAATCCAAAGTGCTGGCTGAGGGTGAGGGAAATCTAGGCCAGGTATTGGAGGAGGGAAATGATGCATATTAATTTTGGCCTTGGCACCCCTTGCAGCAGTAGGAAATATAATTTGTTTTAATAACCTTTTCACACTAATTCTTTGCAGATTGAGGCCAGCCTCTGCCATGAGAGGGACTCTGAGATATTGGGCTTATTCCTTCTCGATCTTAGGGAAGCAGTGAGGATATATTGATAGCACAAAAGTGGAGTTGTCATATTATAGAGTGGGAGCTGATACAATACAAGGGACAAACACACATGTAGATAGCATCAGACAACTCTCGTGCACCACTTCAGATCTTTTCGGCCTCACCATCTTGTTTTCCGGTCACCTGTGCCATGACTGGTTCTGTGTAGGCTCTGACCAGTTCCTCACAGGTGCTGCCTGACAGCACATCATCTCAGGGCCTGTCCACTGGAACCCTCCTGGTGTCCACACAGGTACCCTGGAAGTGTGGGGTAGTTAACAACCCACGGGGCAAACTTCACTGATGGAGAAGGGGAGACCATGGATACAGGTTTCTCACTTTGCCTCTAGGCAGATGGTCCTGAGATCCATGTTATACAGTTTCTCAGATGTCTGCAGAAGTGGCATCTTGATACTGTGTCTTTCTCTTAGCTCTCTCTCCTTCCCTGCTTCATTCCCTCATCCTTCACTCCTGGTCCATCTGTTAGTCTATTTATATTTCTAGCCTTTATCATGCTAACTTCACGGAAACTTAATCTCAGACAATTCAGGGTCCTCCCCTTTCCTTGGGTTTGTGTCTAAGTTCCCAGGGGCCTAACTGGACAAAGCTTTAGGTAAGGCCCATATGGTTCTCGGTATCCTCTCTCTACGTGGACATCCCTGGGTAACCCATGGCCCCCTCATTTGGAGGACCATTGAGGATGTATTTGTACTCCCTCAGCATAGCCTCTTCAGTCGCAGGAGTGCTTTCTGCCATTTTCAGGTCTCTCGTGTGCCTGTAGGACTCACTCTCTCTTTTCACACTAACTTGAGGTGTGGTAAATCTCTGCTGAGTTGTTCCAATCCTGTAAATTTGAAAGGTTTAACCTTTGCCTGGTTCCTGGGAAATAACTCCTGAGACTTGGGAATGTCTTGCCTGTTAAGAGTGTCCTAGTTTACCTAAGGCCTTGGGCCATATCAGATAGTTTATGCTAACAATATGAGTTATGGTGGGGACCTTAGGACCTGCAGTATCAGTTTAACTTCTAGAGGGGTTGGAGACAGAAGGTCAGTCACATGAGAATGTTAACCAAGTCTATGTGATCAACCATCAGTAAAACCTCTGGACACCAATGCTTGGGCGAATTCCCCTGGTTGGCAATGAGAACTGTGGTCAAAAGGAAAACTGTTGCCCCCAAAATTGAAAAGATAGAAGGCAGATGCAGAAATTCACAACTGCTAGGACCGGGACCCATAAACAGAAGTCTATGTGGGCACCAGTGCCAAGGTGGGAAACCTCTATTATAATTGATGACTGGCTAGGGGCTCAATGCAGACAAGTCTGAAAGTTGGGAACTCCAGCAGGCTGAGTCTTAGGGGAGTGCACCAACATATTCATGAGATTTCCCTTCTGGAGCTCTACCAGGTTCTCATAGTGAAGACTGGAGGAAAATCCCCTCATGCTTCCAGCAGGGGGTGGGGGGGGGAAGCCATTTGAAACATGCCAGAGCATTCTGTCCTAACAAGGCATGCCCTCAAGAGAAATTATTTTGCCAGAGCCTATCCTACTGGGATAGGCTCTAAATTGATCTGGGAGAAAGGAAATCCCCAAATCCAGCCCCCTCTAACCATCCTGTGTCACCTAAAAGGGGGAAAAATTGAAAAACACTTGTAAAGTTCACAGTCCAGGGGCACAGGCTAACTAAAAGACTGAGACCCATGCATAGGACTATAGAATGCTTCCCCTCCCATGACACCTTACTAACATGTTATTAAAGGCCTATTTACTGCAGTTCTTTTACCTGGTACATCACAACTGGCTTATAACAAAAAAATTATTATACAAGGCATATTAGAAGGCACACACACGCACATACACACACAAAACACAGTTTGAGGAGACAGAGAAGCATCAGAATGAAAGTAAAACATGGCAGGAATGTCAGAATTATCAGACTAGGACTTTTTTTTTTTTTTTTTGAGACAGAGTCTCGCTTTGTTGCCCAGGCTAGAGTGAGTGCCATGGCGTCAGCCTAGCTCACAGCAACCTCAAACTCCTGGGCTCAAGCAATCCTCCTGCCTCAGCCTCCCAAGTAGCTGGGACTACAGGCATGCGCCACCATGCCCGGCTAATTTTTTTTCTATATATATTAGTTGGCCAATTAATTTGTTTCTATTTATAGTAGAGACGGGGTCTCGCTCTTGCTCAGGGTGGTTTCGAACTCCTGACCTTGAGCAATCCGCCCGCCTTGGCCTCCCAGAGTGCTAGGATTACAGGCATGAGCCACCGCGCCCGGCCCAGACTAGGACTTTAAAAGAACCATAATGTGCTAAGGTCTCTAACAGAAAAATTAGACAACATGCAAGAACAGATAGGTATTGTAAGCAGAGAGAAACTCTAAGAAAGAATCAAAAAGAAATGCTGGGAGTCAGCCACAGTGGCTCACACCTGTAATCCTAGGACTTTGGGAGACCAAGAAGGGAGGATCACTTGAGGCCAGGAGTTTGAGACCAGCCTGGGCAACCTAGCCAGACTCCATCTCTAAAAAAAAAAAAAAAAAAAAAAAAAAATTAAAATTAAAAAGAAATTAGCTGAGTGTGGTGGGGCATGCCTATAGTCCTAGCTACTTGAGAAGCTGAAGCAGGAAGATCACTTGAACTCAGGGATTCAAGGTTACAATGAGCAATGATCATGCCACTGGACTCCAGCTTGGGTGACAAAGCAAGACCCTGTCTCTAATTTTTTTTTAATTTTTAAAGAAGTGCTAGAGATCAAAAATACTATAACAGAAATAAAGATTGCCTTTGATGGGCTCATGAGTAGATTAGACACAGTTGAGGAAAGAATCTCTGAGCTTCGGGATATGTCAACAGAAACTTTGAAAACTGAAAATCAAACAGAAAAAAAAAGAATGAAAAAGGTAGAATAAAATATCCAAGAACAGTGGGACAATGACAAAAGGCATAAACATATATAATGGAAATACCAGAAGGAGAA